CAGAGAAACCCCGGCCCGCGAGCGACCCGAGCCACCGCCCCCCGCCCCAGTCCCAGCCCAGCCCTGCCCAGCCCAGCCCAGCCCCATTTATTCGAAGGAGGAAACCCAGCGCGGCCGCGTGCTGCTTTCCCAACCCTCCCTCCTTTAGTCCAGGTGGGGCGGGCTGCGTGCGTTATCTGCCAGTGAAGTTCCATGTTCGTGTGTGGATTTTCTGAAATGTTCGTTAACACGTCCACCGCGCCCGCCCAGTCGTCCTGCATATACGGGCAATTATCTTATGACTAGCAATTATCTTCCCAGACGCCTTTTTATGCCTAGTTGCCATCGCCCCTCAACTCCGCAAAGGTGCGCGGGCCAGGAGTTGCTCGCACCCAGGACCGAACGGCCTAATAACTATTGCTTGTGATTATGCCAAACTCTGAGTCAACAAACGTGTGCGGTGCCAGCTCGGGACCCAATGATTTGAGTAGGTAAAACCTCGTTGCTTGAAATAATGGCAGATGCCACGAGGAAATCTCTTTAGGATTCTACGAATTTTTGGCCCACTTTCTACTATCTTTTCTATGACACCTACCAGACCAAAAAAAGAAAAAAGAAGAAGAAAAAAAAACTAAAACAAACTTAACTCTTATCTACTTGATCTGCAGAAACATTGCACATAGCTCCTTGCAAGAATCAATTTTTCTCTTGGCCAACTGTCAGGAAGCTGGCGTGAAATCTTGGATAATTACCGTAATGGTGAGTTATGTTTAGAGAAGAATCATTATTCCGAGGAATAAATTGCTCATGGACCAAAAGAATCGTTACCAGCAATCTGAAGGAAATATTAAAGAGCAATGTAAATGAATGATAACTGATTGTTCTCCTACCTTTACGTGTTTGGCGTTCTGTTTCAAATTTTTATTTATTAATTATTTAATTATTATATCCACAGCCCAAGTTTAATTATTCAAAAGAAATACAACAAATCTCACAAAAGTCATAAAAGACTGTTTATAAATTATGTATCAAAATATTTCTCTTAATTAAATTCTTTTGTTGAACTGCTATATCTGAGCACTGGCTGGTCTTTTTTTTTCCTACCCCAAACAGAAGTTCTCATGTGTTTATTACTGAACCAACCTATTAAGGCAGAGCATAAAAACAAAGAGAAAATTTGTTTTTGCAATAAGACAAATGTCACCACTGTCCAGATAGTGATGACATTTGCAGCTTGATCTGGTGAGATGATAGTGAACTTGATATCACCTAAGTGTGTATGCCAGCCATCCTGTGTGCAATTCCATGTAGACCCAGTATTTTTTTCTCCAGTATCTCTTCTTGGAGTTGTACCTGAGTTTACTACCAGTTTTCATCCAAATCCACTGTGCGATGGAACAATTTGCATTTGTTTCTTGGCCAGGAATCATTAAGTCCTGAAAGTTCTGTGAGAACGAGAGGCCTGGGGGGTGATAGACAAGGTTATGGAATGACAAGATTGTTTTAAAATTGGTTTTTGGGGACCAGCAGTCAGCACGTAATGGCTATGTCGCTGGACTCCCATGTAGTTGACTGCGGTTCGCGTCCCGGACCCGGTGGCTTAAACTCACGCTGGGCGCTTGTGCGTGCGTGCCCAAGATCCCGAGAGGAGAATGGAGGAGAAGGGATTGTGGTGTGGCCATTTCCCCCCTGGGGGTGATTTCTCGCTTTCTGTCTCTCTGTCTCTGTCTGTCTGGCGAGCACACGCACCCTATAACATAAACCTCTCCAAAAAAAGAAAAAAATAAATAAATAAAAAATAAAATTGGTTTTTGGTGATGGTTACAGAACTCTGTGGATATACTAAAAGCCATTGAATTGTACACTTTACATGGGTGAATTATGTAGTATGTGAGTTTTATCTCAATAAAGCTGTTTAAAAACAACTAAATGTAGCATATGATCCTTGATAGGATCCCGAGAGGGGGCTATAAAGTTACATTATAAACCTGGTAAATTTTTAAACCTATAGATGGCCTTTCTTACTTCAGTCCTATAATCCCAGATGATAATCATTAATATTATGCATGCTATGAAATGTGATTTTTACCCCTGTGGAATTATTTTTTTAATGGTAATAAAAATTCAAATACTCTTTTTAAAAGGATAGTATTGGAAAAGTTGTAAAAAGCTGAATATGGAATATATATTAATATCATTGTATTAAATTTTTATTTTATTCTTGTATTTTTTTTCAATTCCTGGAAGATACATACACTCACCAGTGAAAGGCTGGCCAAAGCAGGAGAGTTGGGGGGGAGGAGAGAAAGCATCCCCCATGAGGCTTGGCCTTCTCTTCTCTTCCATTTCTTTATCCTGCTGTGTTTCTCGAGTCACTGGGGCCAGAACTCAAACTGAGGTCAGTCATGAGGGATCTGGCTCTCTTCACTGCTAGGCTATAGGGCTGACCCTACAATTTTACTTTTAAGCCCTTCCTTGGCTCTTCTTTACTAGGAATAAAAATTCTTACAATGCGTACAAGACTACAGGATCTTTCCTCTCTACTGCCCTTTACCACTCTAATCCTGTCTTCTACTCTCCCCTTTGCTCATTTCCTCAAATTATCCTGGCCTCCCCACTCTTCTGGAATAACCAAAGCACACTCTCACCTGAGTCCCAGTGCACTTTCCCTCTTTGGAAAGCCCATCCTGCAGATGTCATTAGGATTTGCTCCCTGTTCTCCCTTGAATCTTCACTCGAATGTCCCCATCTCATGAGATCTACCCTGGCCACCACTGAACATTTTACCTATTCCCTCCTCCACTCCTCACTGGGGCCACATTTCCAGTAGAGTCAAAAGGTATTGGTCGCATCTAGACACAGGCCTTCATGAAGGATTCCTTCGTCCATTTTCCTGCAACACAGAACTTCAGTGTTCTGGGCCAGCCAGGTAGCATGGCAGGTAAGGCACTGGACCCCACATGGCTCTTCCTGGTTTGGCTGTGGATGTTCCACTTACTATTTAACTACTTAGCCAAAAGAGAAAGACTTGGGTCTTCGGTGTTCCTTGCCATAGTATCAGTGCTTATAACAGTGCCTAGCACCCAATAAAAGCTCACTAAATGGGACCAACAGATGGCGTAATGGTTATGTTGCTGGACTTCCATGTAATCGACCTCGGTTTGAGTCCTGAACCCAGTGGCTTAAAAACTCAGGTGTGTGTGCATGCATGCCCAAAATCCCTAAAGGAGAATGGAGGAGAAGGGATTGTGGTGTGGCCACCCCTTCTGGGGGGTGACTTCTCGCTTTCTGTCTCTGTTTAATGCACATGCCCTATAGCAAAAATCTCTCCTTAAAAAAAAAATCATTAAACATCTGTTAAATGAACAAGTTAATGAATTAATCAATCAAGCAAGTGTTGTTTTAGTTGCAGGAGACACGGTGGCAAACAAAGCAGATAAAAATTCCTGTCCTCAGGCCAGATCTCACATGGCACATCCCTAGATTACAGTCCCAGACCCCGCAGCTTGAAAAGCATACCACATACATGTGCATGTATGTCTATTAAAATCTCAAGAGGAAAGGGAAGTGGAGAAGGGAATCATGGTGTGATGACATGCATGAGAAGTGATTTTTCCTTCTCTTTTTCTCTTTATGTCTCTCTCTCTGGCTGGTGAATGCACCATCTAGCAATTAAAAAAAAGAAAGTACTCATGGATTTCACCATCTTTTGCACAAAAATAAACTTGTACCTTAATTCCATTTTCCACAAACTTTTTGAAGTCGCCTTATATTTGCTGAGGGACTAAATCTGAAATATAACCGTTGTGGTTACTTTCCAACTGCTATTTCTCTGTAAAGGAAAACATACTTCACAGTCACTGTCATCATGATTGCCCTCACTATCAAGTCTGAATTTCAGATCTAATTACAAACTTAGAAAGTTTTTAAAAATTAGCTCTTTTTCTTAGATTTCTGTCTGTAAACTACAAC